TTTGTAATATAATAAACTATTCATTATACTTCATATATCATATTCATAATTACAAATACAAATTTTATTTATTATTATTATTTATTTTTTTTTATAATAAACGAGAAACTAAATAATATCAAAATTTAACATTAAAATATTTGAATACTTATCGTTAACTTCATTAACATTTTTTGTAATTTATTTTAATTTATTGTAATTTAAATTATATTTTAGAATCGAAATTAGTTAGAAGTTTAATATATTTGTGAAAAATTGGAAATTTAGAGAATCAGATATTGAAATGAATTTGAAATTACTGCAAATCCAAAGCTAGAAACCAATACTAGTTGTAAATTTAATAGTAAATTTTATTGTATAATGTAATTACTACATTAACTAGTAGTAAATTTAGAAACTTGGAAATTTGCAGTGCTTGCAGAAAGTAGAATATATAGAAAATATAGGACTTCAGTTAAATAAGAAATAAGTTGGAAATATTTATTTTTGATTGAAATTGGAAAATTAAAAAAAAAAAAACGAATATGAAACGAAAATGAATTTCAAAAGTTAAGTTAATAAAAAAAATTGTATAAATTGAAAAAGATTGAAAAAGATACAAATAATAATGTATAATATATAAAATTTAATTGTAAATTCCATATGTTTCATAATGAAACTTCTTATTAATATTATATGTAACATGTGTATATTCTTTGTAATTTGACACATATAAAATTTTGTTAATAATTTACATAGAGATTAATAATAAAGTGAATTTGGGAATATTGAAAATTCAAATTTCATTACAAATTTTCATACATGATATTAAAATAAAGACAATGATATAATGTACATATATATATAACTTAGAATTTATGAATAAAGTGATGAATAATAAAGCAGTTCATGAAACAGTAAAATAATAATTATTTATGCAAATAATAATCAATATAACATATGATCAAAAATACTTTGCAAATATGAAGGAAATTGAATATAAAACTATAAAATAAATATAAAAATCAAAGATATAATTTATTCTGATTCATTTTGTGATTTTTTAAAAACCAGGAAATTTATATTATTATAAAATAATCGATATTTGAAAATATTAATAATAATAATTTAAACTATATTGTATTTTTAATTATAATATAATGATGAAAAATAAAATAGATCTATGCACATATAAGATACTTGAGATACTTGAGATACTTGATATTTATTATTGAATAATAAAATAGATTTTAATTTGTAAAGAAATCTTACCAATTTTAATTTCAATTATTTTGTATTGTATCTATTACTAAAGAAAAGAGTGAAAATATAAAATATCCTTATTTTTCTTCCCCAGCAGTCTCAATATAATTATCAAGTATTCCCATCACAAAATTTCTCGATCAATCATCCAACTACATTCTATGAATATTTTTCGGGCAAAATTTCATCTCGTAGAAAGATTCTGATCTCTGGTAATTTCATTTTCCACCTTGTCGGACGAAACAAATAATTCACAAGGTAATTGCATTAAGTTTATCCCGCTCGCACCTACGCCCTAGATGTAACATCCTTTCATCAAGAAGTTGCTCGTACCGAGTAATTAAGTGACGAGATAAGAAATTCGTTTCGTTGCGCTTCACGCAACGAACCTTTAACATTCTGGCTTAATTAATTTTCAAATTCGAGCAATTACAGTATGGCCGAAAGCGAACAGCCGCCAATTATATATACAACGAAGTTAACCGAGGATTTTCTCTCGTGCGAAAAAGACGTCGTTTATCAGGTGAAAATCAAATGTTTATTAATATCTTGACTTTTATTCCTGTTTTTAAATACGCTAATATTTTTATTCATTCGTTATAGTTCCTCGATTGAACATTGGTAACAAGGTTTGCAGAAAATTTTTGGATCTGGAGCAGATATCCGGGAAATTCTAAGATTTAAATATTAATATCGTTTTTCAGGAAATGAAATTTCGTATTTTTAGGATATTTCAAGACAGTTTAGAGCAAAATTTAAAGGAAACTATAATGTTTTATTCTATGGATTTGAAGATGTTATTTGATCCTTAACATTGCATAGAAATATCAAATAGGAAAATATTTGTTGTAGGATATTTTAGTTAGATCATGTTTGCATCGAGATTTATAAGAAATTTTATATTTTAATTTCATTTAAGTATGAATTTAAATATTATACGTTTCTCGTCGAAGTGGATTTAAAAATATTAGAGAATAAAGTTTGCCGAAACTACAGCAAATTTTATTCTCTAATATTTTGCCACAGCAAACTTTATCTTTTTTGTTTGCAGCGAGATTTATGGGATAATTTTACGTTTTAAATAATATTGACTTTGCCATCATATGGATTTAAAATTTCTACGTTTTAAATATTAACATCGCATGGATTTAAAATATATTGACATTTGTTACAAGATATTTTAATAAGATTTATAAAAAATTAAATGTTTTATATGAATATTACCTCTAATATTATCTATATAAGAATATAAATTAATCACAATAATTAAAAAAATTTTATACAAAATATTCAAAGATTAATAACAAATTTTCATATATTTCATTTTATCGTTATATAAATTTAAAAACATTATACAAAATTATATATAGGAAAAATCTTGCAAAATATTTCTATAAAATCCTTTAAATATCTTTTTTATATTTTCATAAAAATATTAGGATATTGGATAGATTATCCAAGGCAATGAATATTCTGTGATTGAAAAACATGCAAAATTTTTTTTTGGTCACTTTTTTCCAATTTAATTTAAATTTTGTACCAATTAATTCCAATTATTCATCTATTGAATATTACATTTCATAAATAATAAAATAAATAATAAATAATAATTCATTTCATAAATAATAAAATTTTAAATTTAATAAAATTCGAAAACAAAATTATAACTACTAAATCAAACTGTCCAAACACTTGTGAACAATGTCACATGTTATACAAGATTACACACATTAAGAGAATGAAATGTCAATTAAATTAAATTAGTATCATCCTCGTTAAATATCCATCAAAAGTTTTATTTTTATCCAGAAAACTTAGAACAAGTTAAAAATTATTTAGGAAACTTAGAACAAATTAAAAAATCATCATGATCTGTCTTTATTTTTATTTTCCATTTATATTCCTTTATAACAGATGATAGTTTCTCGTTTGCACTTAAGTAAAACGGCGAAGTACACGCATCGGGTTACGGTCAGGCATTAAAGCACATAAAGGACTTACGTAGGCAACCCTCCCAGTCGGTATATAGGTCTACGTGCAAACACGCGAGCACGTTAAGTGCGCTTGCAGCACGAGGTTGGTATGAGACCAGCAGGGAACCGCGAAGGGGTTAGTCTGATATATGGGATAGCCCGATATTATACGGCTGTGCACAGCCGGAGGAATATTCTTTACGATCTTTCATGGAAAATGAAACCTATTCAATACTTCAAGATATGACGAAAGCTGAATGGTGAACTTTTGGCGCGCGATTCAAATGATGTACGTTGATGGAAAGTATTCTGATAGTATCTGACAGTAATTTCAACGTGATATTTTGTTAATATTTAGTATATTTATATAAATATAAATGTTTAATATATATTATATATATGTATAATTATATATATATATGTATAATTATTATGTATATATGTATAATTATATATATATATATATATGTATAATATATTATATATGTTATATAAATGTTTAATATATCGTTTCATTTGATACGAAAACAGAATCATTGTTTGTAAGAGAAATAAGTGAAACGATATTTTTTTATAGATTCCAATAATAATAATGAAATAAGAGAAGGAATATTTAATGTGATTATTTAAATATTGTGAATATTTATGCAATTTTGACACGCGATTCAAATGATTTTCTTATATAAAAGTTAGTAGATAATGTTGTATTAAAAACGTAAAATATTTATATAAGATATATAAATATGCTGTTTTATTTGATTCGAAAATAGAAAGATTTGTAAAAAAAACAAAATGAATATTTTTTGAAGAATAAAATTAAAGGATGGATCACTTATATATTATGATTATTTCAATTATTTTCATTACATAATCTGAAAATATTTTTTATGATTTTTTACAGGAAAAGAAATCTATTTAATAGATCGAAATATATAAATATATAATATAAATGTAATAGTGAATATTTTAGCGCGCAATTTAAATGATTTTCTTAATTAGATTATTATTATATTATTCTTAAGAAGAATAAAGTTTTTATAGATTTAAATGAAATTAAGATAATTACAATTTAATTATTTCAATTATTTTTATTATTAATACAAATTAAGACCCTTTTTATTATATATGGATTTTCAAGAGATGATATTGAAGTTTTTCTATATTGTTCTTTTTCTTTTTTAAATAAATGTTCGAGGTTATCTATTTACGTGTACGCTTATCACATTTTTTATGTATTCTCTTTAAGCTTAATAAAATAATGATGCGAAAAATAAATTGAAAATTAATTAAAAATAAACAAGCAAAAAAATTAAACGCTATCTTTACTTTTCAAAGTCATATCGAAAATAATTAAAATGTTCATCAATTTCACCAATGATCCATCCTATATAACTCTATTATTTCTGATAGAAATAAAAATATAATAATCAAGAGTATAAATAAAAAAATACAATAATAAAACTATAAATATAAAAGTAAAATGAAATAAAAAGAAAAAAAAAGAAAAATTAGAAAATATAAATCAATAAAGCAACATCTACATTCTTTCTTTCTATTAAAAAAACACGATTTTTGCGATTTTTTAAATCTATGCATCTCGACTTCTCGCAAGCCTTTTTTTTTTTTAGAAGAAAAGCCATTTATTAGAAGAATTCTTCGCAGTTTCACCACTGCGTCCACTACCAAGTTATTATGCTTTATGAGGTAGCAACGGCCAATCACCAAAAAAGCCCCATGTGCACCGCGTGTAATCCCTGTGCCATTTATTTTCCCCGCAAAACTCACCTTCCTCGAAGGGTTGCGCCCGTTTAGCGAACGCCCTCGAGAAAACGCCGCGCGGCTTCGAGGCATCCACGCCGTTTTCTACGGCTGCGCTCATTTTTCTGAGTGGTCCTTCACGGAGCTTGTATTGCCGGGACGGATAAAGGGACCATCTGAAATTGACGTGACACTCTACATCTTTGTCTAAAGAAACCGCGAGATATACGAAGCGAGAGCTTTAAATAGGAATCTCCATTCGGCATTCGGCCCTGTAATCATTTTCTCACTCGTTAATTGATCATATAAATTCAGAGAAAGAGAGAGAGAGAGAGAGAGAGAGAGAGAGAGAGAGAGAGAGAGAGAGAGAGAGAGAGAGAGAGAGATTGAAGTAGTTGTAAATTAAGGGTAGATTTGATTTCTTCATATTTATATATTTAAATTTTAATCTTTTTTTGATATCTTATTTTATTAGATTTGAATTTTAGAAAATGAAAAAAAAATCTTTGTAGACTATTTATTTAAAGAAAAAATAATAAAAAACTTATAATTAAAAATTTGAATGATGGATAAAAAATTATTTATACTGGATAGAATTCGAAAGAATTGTATATTATTTATGGATGGAATAATTAATCAGATTAATTATTTTATTATAAATAATGAAACATATTTTCTCTTATTTATATTCATTTTTTTACATAATTTACTATTTCAATTTCCTAATTCGTTTCATAACAATAGAAAAGCAACATTTTCTACACGATTTTCAGTTAATGTCGGAAATGAAAAAATTAATTTCGTTTCACATATATTATTTTCAACTATATGTATAATCTATTCTTTTCAACATAACAATGACGTTTTGCAATCTATTGCTCTGCTACGTGTCATCTTGCCAACTGAACAATACATTATATTACATCATAATAGATATTCGCACAATATACCCGTTAATTGCTATTCTTCAATTAAGAATTTCTCTTTAATTAAATGTAGATCATCTGATTATGGAGAAGAGATTACAATGAAGAATCGTCAAAGATGGAGAGTAACAAAGGATGAAATCATTGCATTTTAGATTCTCTTCTTTACGTCACATAAATAAATCGCCTTCATAAATTTTCATAATGCAAATATTCAACGATTAATGAAATATCCTTTCAAAGATCGCTTTAATGATAAAAATTAATAACTTTAATATTACTTTTAAGGGATAGAATGTTAAATATTAAAAACATTAATGAATTTTATTATTTATAAGAAGTATGATTATTAATTGATAAAAAAGATTTAATTAATGAATATATAATCTTAGATAAGAAATCCTAAAGATTCTTCAGAAAAAAAGATCAATAGTTAATTATAATTAATAAATAAGATAGCATATATTGTAGTTAAATTTTCATTTTATTATTTATATATTTTATTACTATAAATAGATAATATATAGATAAAAAAAAGTTGAACGAGTTAGTTGTTTTTTTATTGCTACATTGATAGATTAAATTAATAAAATAAAATTGTAACTGAATTACAATACAATATTTAAAACAAAATATTACACAATAAATCGAATAAATGTTTGCAATAGTTATGAATCTCTAAAAATGGAATTATATCAGAAACATCTAAAACATCTTTTCTAAATAATCTGATACAAAAATTTGCAATTATAAAATTTTAAAAATTAGAAACAATTTATTTTTACGTAAAAATTGTATAATCTAAAAAATATATCAAATATTTAGACTTTAAATTTTCCAATAAAAAATTAAATTGAAAATATTTAATCAATCCTGCATTATCTAATTTAATGGGGTAATTGTTTAACAATTACGTGAAACTGACTAATATTTATATATAGGTTGAAAGCCTGATAAGTCTTATTTATCGACAAGTCGTAATCATTATAATGTAAGCTTTGACAATTTATAGTTATAGCTAGAAGGGAACAAGAGCAGGATAACATCCCCTAAAAAGGAAGCTTATACCTCCCCTATGTTACGAGGGTACTATGTGCATTCACTTCCCCTCTCGAGGAGAAACTCGATATTCGTTCGTCATAATTTATGATTCTCGATATTCGATCGTTCAATAAATCTTCGTTGTGTACGGTCAAATTTGCTCATTGATTTATACTTAGCTAATTGTAGTCATAGAAGCAATAACTTAAAATATTGTCGATGTATAAGAAAAGTTGATAGTCAAAAGAAAAATTATTTATTTTTCTTTTTTGATAAGTAACATATAAGCAATTTTATAAATTTTAACTATTAAACTATTTAATGTTTATAATTTTTAATCAATAGGTATAATTTATGTATTTAATTTATATTTTAGATTTATCGAGACTTATTAAAACTTTCAGAAATTTTAAATATTGTATCATGTTCATATTTTCATTTCTCCATATAATGCATAATAATTTAATATTTCAAAATGCTTTATTTATATTATAGATTTATTACTACATAATATTAATATTATTTTATTTATATAATAATTTGTTATTTATAGTTAAATTCATTCATATAATAATATTTATATAACCATGTAATTATCACAAAATCATATGATCATTTAATCATTCAAGCAATCATAAAATATCCATACATTATATATATTACATCATATATATATATATAATTATACAACCATGTAATAATATACATAGTATAACAGCATAAAAATTTTTTACATTAGATAATTACAAACAGTTATCATCAATAAAGAGTATTAATATGGCAATAATAATAATAAAAAATAAAGTCATAAATAAAAGAACTTGAATTTAATGATAATTTAAAGAGTCATAAATGGATTAGAATTAAGGCGAATGGAAATAAACATTACAGCAAACATGTTACAAAATGGGCGAGTAATTTCGATTATTACGGACAAACGGCTGCTGTTGTCACGTTTATTCCAGCCATAGCTATTTCTAATGTGCACGACCCCCCGGAGTTCAATTCTGAAATGGACATACTGGTTTGCCGATCCCTTTTGTCAAACGGAGGGAGCGCTCGGCGGATGACAGTTTCATCTACAGAATCGAGACCAAAGCATGTACAAAATACCGATTTCTCTTCTTTTTACCAGGTAAAAATGTTGTCTGATATTTATCCATAAAATATTTTTAAACGATTATGATAAGTATAAATATTATACATTATATATACATATAATATAACAAAAATCTAATTTTTAAATGTTTTTAAAATGATTATAACATAATTATGAATATTACGTTATAAAATATAAACTGAATATTTAAAAACTTTATAATAAAAGTTTAATTTTTATTCAAAAAATGTTTTTACTCTTTTTTATTGTTATTTCTAAAGATGCATTATATTATGCTACTATTATTATTATTATTCAAACATCATTATGTTAATTCTTTATTTTTATTACATTAATTTTTTATTCTTGTTATTATTATTTATTTTAACATAAACACAAACAATAAATGAAATAATTTACAAGAATTTTCATAATGTGTATAAGTATATCTATACAACATAATCTCAAAGTGTACACAACTCAAGATATTAAGTAAATACGACATAAATATAATTTCAGTTAAAGCAAAAAGGATTTTTACATAAGAAGAAAAGAGTTAACATTGATAAAAAATTAAATTTAACATTGATAAAATTTTTTTCTCTCATCTAACAAAAAAACACAAAATACAAAATTCAAAATTCGAATCGAACGAAAAGAAATATATATTTGATTTTCGAGGGCGAGATGAAGGAAGGAAAATCTCGTTAGAAAATTCCATTTTTGTGCAAACAGTGAAAAGCTCACGCGTATATACCATTCCAACGATATCCATACTATTCCATCGACTCCTGTTTCGCGTGGAATGCAAGTTGGATCCTTCCTCTGTCAGAAGTTTCAGAATGGATGATAATTCTTGAAACAGAAGCACCTGATATACGTGAACGCGAGGCGAAAACTCGCGAGACGTAAATTTCGTGGATTGGCTTTATACCAGTTCGCTTGTACTTCGTTGCCGGGGGATTTGAAGTGTAAAGTTGCTTCTTTGTCAATTCATCTGGATATACAGTACGTGCGAAGGGTATGAAGGAAAGATTAACGAGATTTCCCTTAGGAATCGATGTACGTATTGCATTTCGAATAAGAAATCGTGAGTTTATTATTAATTTTTAAATGACAAATGAGCATAAGATTATATCTATTTATCTATTTATTTATTCTTTTTTTTAAAATTTTTTTTTGTAGATATATATACATGTACTTTAATGTGTTGATATTAAAAGTTTTTTCTATCATTTTTATATTATTTTATGTATTTGTATTTTCACATTATTTTCATATTAAATATTAAATTTTTATACCCATAAGAGAGTATTACAAAATGATATGATGTTTAATGTATAAACTTGGACCTAATTAAGTAGCATGGAATTAATGTAAATAATATACAATGTTATTATTATCTAATACTATTATAGTTATAAATACACACATATATGAAAGTATAATATAATAATATTGAAATTATGTAACATTACTAGCAGTGTAATTAATATTAAAATAATGTAATAAATACAATGATTTACAAATTTTTCTTTTGTGTGTAAATAAATTGCATACAATAGACTATATACCTTTATTATTCTTAGATAGATAAGGCTTTACATATAATTAAAGGAAAGAAATGAGAAGTTAATTTTAGTCAAATTTCTAGTCTTTTTTACAAATAGAAAATATAAATATACATAAAGCAATTTAATATGTATAGAAAAACCTAACGATGCATTAAAAATAGGAAATTACTAAAGGATAAATAAATTATAAAGTTTAAATTATTGGCAAGTTAAATGATGAGTTAATAAGTTATTTTTAATTATCCTTGAACTTTTTATAGTAAAAATATCAATATTTTTAAATAGGTTAACAAACAATTATTGATATGCATTATTGAAGCAAGGAAGTGAACTTTAAAAAGAAAATACTACCAAAATAAAATAAATGTATATTCTATCTGTGTACGTAATAAAATATCAAGTTTCTATTTTCTAACATAATACATTCTTAAATAAAAGACAATCATACTATATAGAAAATTATTATTATAAAATAATTAAAATAGAAAACTTCAAAAATTAAAAAAACTATTAATTATTATTGCTTTAATAAATAT